AAGACTACACTAGGCTTTAAACACTAACGCCCCAGACTAGATAGTGGCATGTGATAATTTTGGAAGCAGACCCGTTTGGTGATAAAAGGAGGCACAATCCTAAGGGATGACGCATCGGCCACTTTGGTTTACACTGCAAGCCACATAGCTCCCCGAAGAGATAGGCAGAACCTGCCCATGAAGAGCAGGATCTAAGGTGCACAGAAATGGATGACTGCTCTGGCTACCTTTGGGTATGCCCCCTTCTCATGAGCAGAAATTTTTGAGCTACGCCTTTAGCACAGAAGAAAACTTCAGATCTGATTTTTAAGTTCTGGGTTGGTGCAAGTGCTAATTCAGGAGATGAATGATGGACAAAATCCGAGACAGGTTAAGTCAGATGTCTATCTAAAGAAAATAACGTCTTCAAAGTAGAAAAAGAACAGCTACAATTCACTGTATGTTCATTAAGAAGTGAAATGTAAATGTATACAGAAGTACAGCATAATTTTATTCAAATTTTCTACTCCTACAGAAGTCCACATTGACAGTGGTGAATTAGTATTTGTGGAACCTGCCACTTAGTCATGAATACTATTTCACCCACACGTAAGAGAACAATACCATCCTCATAGTTATCAGACAAAGTAGATCTTTTGGAAATAAGGAAATACAACACTAACATAGAAAACAAAGTGTGACTTCCCTTAAAGGTCCAGTCATTCATCTCTAAAAATATTAATACAGAACTAAGGAGATGCAGGAGAGAGCTACTAAAACGCTCTAGAGCTCAAGAACACTCAGAATATTGGTTTATTTAGTAAACAATATGAATGATATTTATAAATATTTCAACATGATAAACACCAATGTGAGTGTTGCTGGAAGGAGACTATTTAAGATAAAGGACAATGTTGATATAAAAGTGTAAAATGATCAGTAATAAATTTGAACTGAATAAGGGAAATGGCCTTCCACCAGCAATACTGCTAGTTTTTGAAATGGATGCCATGTCACATAACAGCATAATACAGCAGAGAAGCATTTCTTTCACCCAGGAGGTCCTTTTCAGTCCAGATGCAGAATGATATAAAGATAACAAATCACCATCCTTATCCAAGGTAATTTTGACACTTTTGTGGGTTTTTTTGTCAAATCTAGGGAGCCTCTGTATTGAATCCTTAATTTCCTAGCATCCTCTGCCGTCCCTACCATCGTAACGAGCACACTTCTCCTTGATCTGTTGGGCACAGACTGACAAAAAGAGCATTGAGACTGAAAGGTGGCAACAGAAATAATTCAAGAAATAACACTGTTTTGTGTAATACACAGTGACCACTTGATAACGTGTGCTGAGGAGTGTAAGGACTCACAACCACTGCTAGAAATGCTGCACACATTCACCTGAGTTCCAGGAACGATACATAAAAGTACTGGTTTTAAGATAATACATGTACTGGAGTGAACCTCCGTAAGATAATAATGCACCGGCTGGGAAACACAAGGAGCGACAAATACATTATTATTTCTCACTATTTTCTACCCATTTCAATTTGAGTATTATACACTTCCCTGACCAAAATTACGGCTTTCCTCTGGCAGGAAGCAACATGTTTTTAACAGTCACGCAGCTGAAAGCTCCTGGACCTAAGCGTTGACCTTAAGTGTTGTTATGAATTACACTCCAGGAGTAGACGAACCCTCAAAAAGAAAGTTTGGGTGTGGACCTATTTTAAAACCCTGTGGTTCATTCTTGCACTTTTGGTTAGTGTGTACTCTTCCCTGCCTTTTCTGTAATTAGCAACTTCATCTAGAGCCTGATTTCTCCACAATCACGTACTTTAATACTTGCCTCCTGTGCTAATTCCAAAATAAAGCATGCAGTTAGCTGTTTTTGCAAAGGTAGCAAGATCAGAAACAGAAGATTAAGGAAATAATTACTGAAGTATCCAACTACAAAAGAAAGCTTATTGCTGTGGTTTTTTTCCTTCGCATATGTGAAGATTTTCATGTTTACTTGGTAATTTCCAAGATGACAAAAGGGATCTGAAAGTACGCTGGCACTGGAACAGTACATTTTCCTCTGTCATTCTCAATTAATTGTCTTAATTGTGATTTATAAAATTTAAATACCAATTAATTGTCTTCATTGAGATTTTTACAATTTAAATACCAATGTTGTTTGTTGAGTTGTGCTAAATCACCATTTTCTACGCTGCCTTTTTCAACACTGGTGTTCTTTGCACACCCCACTGCTTCACTACATTTTCTGATGCTCAGGAAACGAGAGGCGAGGAGGGGTTTGATTTTCTCTCAGCTCAGCTTACTAAGTGTGAACCCAGGTGCAGTCTCTATGGGATGTCACTCGATGGCTCATGTCACACTGTAAAACACTGCCATCAGCCGGAGAGGTGACGGATGAGCACACTGTGGAGTACACGAGAAGCACTGACATGCGTTAGAAAAGCAAAACACTTGGATTCTGCATAAAAAAAAGACGGTGCTTTTCCTTCGATAAGAAATCAGATTAATGCCCTGTTACAAATTGTGGCCTCCACAGTTAAAGAGCTTTAATCCTCTAGCTGTTCATTGCTACAATCATACTCAGAATGCAGGAGAAGGAAAGGGAAAGGATTCCCCTCGTGTCTTAAATACATGTTTATTTTCCAAAGATTACTGCATCAGGATGTCTCGGGTAATTGGTCACAGAAGTAGCACCGTCATTTCAAAACTAACAAGCGTTCACGCTGAATACGAGCAGCTGGTTGCAACAGTGAGGAACGGCGCTGAGGAAAAAGGATTTCAAGATAAAAGCTCCTATTCTGTTGCTGTTTAACGAGGGACTGTGAGGTGCACACTTCACCAGGCAGGGAGGAAAATGGCATTTACACAGCAAAGACTCAGGTATTCCGCTGAGGAAAGATTGGCTCGTCCAAATTAAAAATAATCCAAAAGATTGTGGATGAAAGAGTAATCGCTCTGTTTTAACAAGGAACAAATCCTTAGGAGTTGTTGTCATTTGCTTCAGCATCAGAAACAAGACCTTAGAACACACCGTTTTTAAGTGGTTGCTCTGCAGCAGGCACATTCCATTTCTGTAACTCAAAAAGACCAGTACGCTAAGCCACTTTGGCTCTAATGATGAGGAGAGATTACGAACACACTTGAATAGGAAAAAAAAATTACTTCAGGTCGCAGAGTACAAAACTATTTTTTTTTTCCCCTAACAGAAC